CTCTCTCTCTCTCTCTCTCTCTCTCTCTCTCTCTCTCTCTCTCTCTCACACACACACACACACAGTTGAGTTTATATGACATTTGGGGACATTACATTGATTTACATTAATTTACTGGAGATTTACCATAACCACTACTCGCTTAATCCTAATCCTTACCCTTAACCTTAAACCAAGTCTTCACCCTAAAATGTAACTGTTCACCTATGGGGACCTGCATTTTGACCCATAAAGGATGCAAGTCCACACAATCTCACTGTGTAAACAGATTTCTGTCCCCATAAGGTGAGTAAAACCTCAATAAACTGCAGGTATGGCTGCAGTGGTGGAAAGTAACTAAGTGCATTTACTCAAGTACTGTAACTGCAATTTTGAGGTACTTGAACTTAACTTAAATAGTAGTTCACTTAAGTATTTATTGATGTGGATCAATTTTTATATTTAAATGTATTTTGAATACTTGCAACAAAGTACTTTTACACTGTAGTAGCCTACTGTCACTTTAACTTAGCCAAAGTGGAAAGTCTGAATACTTATTCCTGTCTTTGCTTCTTTAAAGTGTAAAGACAAGAGGAGCCTAATAGACTGTTTTGGGCTGTGCTATTGGCTGTCCCCATCAGTACGTATTTCCCAACCCTAAGGTGAAAGGTGCTCCTACCAGGGTGAATGGCGTATTGAGGACAGTGATGAAGATATCCGCCACAGCGAGGTTCATGATAAACAAGCTGGTGGCGGACAGGGTGCGCTTGTTTTTCACCACCACATGGCACACGAGAGTGTTCCCGAACAAGGAGATCACGATGATCAGAGAGTATGCGGCCACCAGCAGCGCCTTGACTCCGCCGTCCTGCGACTCCGCGTCGCGGCGCTTCTTACTGGCCAAAGAGCGCCAGTCCTCCAGCATCCCCTCGTCAAAGTCCATGAGGAAAACTGGAGAAGTCCGGTTACCCAACTGCCCCGAAACGTTCAGTAAATGCGCCGTGTAAGAAAACATCCCCTCTCCCAGAAGTGAAGAGTCGTTGAGTCGGTGTCCCGCTGCTGCAAGGCTGCCCATCCAGAGCACCACACATAACCAAACACACACGGCTCTCATTTCAGGACTTGCTCGTGTTAGTATGATCTAAACAACTGCACATCTGCTGTGGAGATGCTGAAGCGCGAGCAACAAGTTGTGTGATGCGACTCAGTAGCGCGACTGCTGTTTTTAACCTCTCTCTCTTGAGAGAGAGAGAGAGAGAGAGAGAGAGAGAGAGAGAGAGAGAGAGAG